GACATGGGACAATGGGACATGGGACATGGGACATGGGACATGGGACAATGGGACATGGGACATGGGACATGGCATGTTTATGTTTATGGTGCAGGTGATGACATGTTTATGGTGCAGTTGATGTGGACATGTTTATGGTGCAGGTTCAACAGACAGTAAAGACTTCGATAAATTCTCAGTTTTTCTCATGATCAAATTTCTTCTTAAAATTTTTTTAACAGCTTTTCAGCGGTTCAGAGAGTTTGACGGGTTATATGATTAATTTATCCTGCGATTTATTCATTTATAATGAGTTTTGACTGTATGATTCGTATTATTGAGAGATTTTATCAATCGTTATAGGGAATGCACAAGCATGTTTCCTGCTTCCACTGTGAACAACTTCTCGCGCTTGTTTCAGGCGCCAGCCTCAGCAGGTAACCAGCACGCTGGCAACCGGCTTTCACTGTGTACGTACCCTAAAGTCGGAGACAATGCATGAATCAATTGACAGAATGAAAAAAATAAGTTAAAAATAAAAATATTCTGTTATAAATGTTAAAAATAAAAGAAATTTATTGAACATGTGTAACATAGGAGTCACCGGCCTCTTTAGAAGTGTGGTCTAACAAAAGTACTTTTTTAACGCATATTATTTGGTCTGTGAATAACTTTCATATTAACACATATTAAATGTACATTATTTAGGATCTTGATAATGAAAAAATGGTCGAACCAAAATGAAGACACTCTATAAGTGTCGGAAATAATTTTAATACTGGAATGCGTGCGGTGTCAATTACAGAGAATTTTGTCAATAACAAGTTTGAGAGCAGTGATGGCGAGAAACTATAATACGAGTATCGAAGGCAAATCACGAATCAGCAAAGAACAATGTCGAATAACAAATCTGATCGATGAAAACAGCCATAGTATAATTATTTTATAAAATTTTTAAATTAATTTAAATTTAATTTGTAATTAATTTTTTAAGTAGTGCGTAGTTTTGTCACATGAATCAAGTTGATTTCCACATTCGTTCGTTTTTTTCAAGTGGACCACGATTTTTGACGTTCATAAATATTGAGCAAAGACTATCACTGAACCATCGACGTAATCATTATGAAAACATGACTGCACTTTATATAGCGTTGTTGTAAAAATAACTTTGACGCGTTGAGTCATCAAGAATTTTCTTCAAATTTGCATCAATAAAAATATCGACGAGTTGAAGAATTTTGTCTTTTTAAGTCATACGGGGGATGAAACCGCTGCCGTCCGAGCCTCCTTGAAGCATCCACCCGCAAGCGTGGACAACGCTCAGCGATGTTCTTTTGAAGTTCTGCAGTATTGAAACATCAAACATCACTCGATTGGATCAGCTCCCTCTGACATAAAGGGCGCAAACTTTGCGGTAAAAAAGGGAATTTTCCGATGATTGGCCGGCGATGAAGGGAGCACAATTGCTGCTATTTATGGGACGCATTAAATAAAGCAGATTGTTGGCTCATGCATATGCGCAGAGAGTAGACACGTGCAGAAAAGATTTGAGTGCCTCACTCCGTTTGCCCCATGACGTGTGCACAGGTTTACAATCATTGCACATGAAAAGTTCTTGTATTTGCGGTGAAATTATTGCTGTGAATTATGGTCTAAAGTTTGTAGTGAGTAAATATAACGACATTCACTATTAAGTTAAACTTGTCAGATATTTGCGTTTTTTTTTTCTTGCAAGACAAAACCTAGTCTAACCACCCTTCATTGAATACCTTGCTGCGTTCATTTCTTGCTTGAAAATATACCACAAAAAGGACATTTTGGACTCAATAATGTGATGAATCATTTCTACGTTTTAATAGCAGTTATTATCAATCAATTGAAGCGCTTGCTGAATAAAGACCTAACATGGCAGCTCCATTTAATTGATAATTTTATATCTACCTATGGTAGATGTGTCGGCTGGAATCATCTCGACAACTATATTAAGTTATCTCGACAATTATACATGTTATGTCGACAACTATACAATATCATCTCGACAACTATATGAGTCAACTCGACAACTATATGAGTCATCTCGACAACTGTACAAGTCATCTCGACAACTATATGAGTCATCTCGACAACTGTACAAGTCATCACGACAACTATATGAGTCAACTATATGAGTCATCTCGACAACTGTACAAGTCATCTCGACAACTATATGAGTCATCTCGACAACTGTACAAGTCATCTCGACAACTATATGAGTCAACTATATGAGTCATCTCGACAACTGTACAAGTCATCTCGACAACTATATGAGTCATCTCGACAACTATATGAGTCAACTATATGAGTCATCTCGACCACTGTACAAGTCATCTCGACAACTATATGAGTCATCTCGACAACTATACAAGTCATCTCGACAACTATATTAGTAATTTCGATAACTATATGCATGAATAATTGTTATTGTCGAAAATATATTCGGTGGATTGGTTGCAGCGGAGATGTTTTTCTCAACTGCTTGGAAGCATGTCACTAGTTACTAAACTGAAGAATTTGAACATTTATACATTTTAATATGAATAAGCGAGATTGTACTCGAAAACTCGCTTTTCCATAATTCAATATAAACATTAAAGTTAAAAATGCATGTAAATAAACAATAAATTGATAATTCTGTACGTGAGTAAAATATGTCGTCAGATTCTGCGCAGCACGCTATCTTTTTCTGTGGCAAATTCTGCGCAGCACGCTATCTTTTTCTGTGGCAAATTCTGCGCAGCACGCTATCTTTTTCTGTGGCAAATTCTGCGCAGCACACTGCGCAGCACGCTATCATTTCTGTGGCAAATTCTGCGCAGCACGCTATCATTTTCTGTGGCAAATTCTGCGCAGCACGCTATCATTTCTGTGGCAAATTCTGCGCAGCACGCTATCTTTTTCTGTGGCAAATTCTGCGCAGCACGCTATCATTTCAGTTCATGCGACGCAGGCAAGTTGTCCATCATTTTCCAACGACTTTGTTTAACTGCGGCGACACAACACGTGATCATATTTGCAATCATATACTGAAGTAACTTCTATGATAATAATAATTTTATCCATCAAGACTCTACTTATAAATTTTATATTTTGTACAGCTTACGTTAATGAAGAGAAGATTATTATTAACAAAATGCTATATTTTCCAAATCATTTCAAATGCTAGAGAAGAAAAGAAAATTAATTACTTTAAATTAATTGTCATAATGCAGGACTCAACAATTCAGACACAATAACCTTTAGCTCAAAATGATGTGTTGGTCCAACAACATTACTACCATTTACTGGACATCATAAGTAACTAACACTCTATTGTCAATTATTCTTCCAAATTTATTACGCACCTTTTGATTAGAGCAATGCATTTGTAATTATCATACGAATATCCAGCACGAATTTCTCACGAGACAAATAGAAGTTAGAAGTAAAGAAATGTTTTCTTAATTCTAATGAGTACTCGAAAATACGAGAACATCTGTCAGGCTATTGTAAGCTAGCAACAGTGCCGTGACATATCTTAGAAGCCGATGTCGTTTATATCTACTTCATCATGGAATGATGAATGGAATATATGATTAGGTATAATGCATTCAATGTCCGTAATGACGCGATCAATACTCGACTGTATGCTGTACCCGCCGTACATTTCTTCTTTTACCCTTTGCACATCAGACGCTGCACCAAGATATGACATCTAATAGACCGATAATTCTCGTATTTTGAATGCATTCTTTGGATGACGATGATTCGTATTGATGAGCTCGTATGGAGCAAGGAACGACGAGGGTTTAAGAAATCTATAACTTTGTACCTCTTAACACTTGATATTCCACTTCAACTCACATCGCAGAGTTTTTAACCGAGGCTGCAAGAGATCTTGCTTCCAGTGATGGGGACCATATCGTATATACAAGTTCCCCGTGGCTGCGTTCCGGAACATCATAAACTGCCTTTGATGGAAGAAGCTTCAGAATTTGAGCCAAGCGATTGACGCAGTGCCTTTTCTGAAACGTGTGTGGTCATTTTAGCCGTAATTTGTGTAACTACGAGTTTATGCGTCATTTTAGCCGTCATTTGTGTAACTATGAGTTTATGCGTCATTTAAGCCGTCATTTGTGTAACTATGCGTTTATGCGTCATTTTAACCGTAATTTGTGTAACTATGAGTTTATGCGTCATTTTAGCCGTAATTTGTGTAACTATGAGTTTATGCGTCATTTAGCCTTAATTTGTGTAACTATGAGTTCATGCACCATTTAATGATGCGTTCTATGAATACAAAAAAAAAGACTTTCAATGGTTCCTAAATTTAGACCAGCGATTAATTAGACCAGTGATGAGCAAAATTAATTTCTCATTACAGATGGTACTAATGAAACTAAATACTATGAAACTAAATAAACTTTATTGTAGTTGAAAAAACTCAACCAAAATGCAAATAAAGATAATAAAAATGCTTACAATTCTTCTTTTGAAACAAGAAAGAACACCGCAGAGGCGACACCATGCACGTACCTCTGCGGTTTGACCACGCGACACAAAGGCGACGTTCATGCATCACCAAATGACGTCACGTTAGTGGGATGTGAGCACATTCGTATATGTGTTGCATATTTACGTGTTGCACAACCGTACGATGAACTAATGTACTGTACCGCGTTAATTGATTTACAACTTCAATGAGAAAAATAGTTTTCAAGTTGTCATAGGTCGGGAAATTCAGCAACACAAAATGACTTCATCGTCTGTAATAACTATAAATTTGGGTCATGACTACCGAAGAGGACATGAGCCGAAGAGGACATGGTCAAAGAGTGTCCAACTGTGCGTACCACATTTATCTTGCCAGATTGGAGCTAAAGATTTATTCGTCACCAAACTGACCACAACTTGTCAGCTGTCAATGGAACGAGCATTTAACGCCTCTATTTTGGCATTTCATCTGTAGTAAAGAATGACTCAATACAATTTATTCTTCCTTTTCAGAATAAACTCTGACATTAGTCTCAATTTGGATAAGATGTACCAAAAACGTATCATCAAGTCTTGTCCATTGAAATTGCTTGCAGTGATCACCTTCATGGCATTGGCGTATACTGCTATTAGTTACATTCACCAGGATTCAGGTAAATCTTATGTACATAATATTAAATTGCAAAAACAAATTATTGCTCTGCATAACATGCATTGTACGTATATGAAGAAGGAAATGTTTTAATATTAGTACAGTGTACTTGAGAAGTTTATAGTGTTTACGATTCTACGGATATATATTTTTTCCTGAGTAATTAACATGGATATCGAGCTTTGTTAGCTCTTCAGTATTTGCAGACAGTTAAAATGGCAGTTGATTAAACCGAGATGCTTTTTAAGTGGCATCATCAATGTAATTTTAGGAAATGATAAGCTCCTCTAAATTAGATCGGCTGCTTTCACTAAGCCCAATAGCCAGAAGACCCAATAACAAGTAGCCTCATCCCAAGAATGAAAAGAGTAATGAGAAAATAATACATATATGAAGAATATCTTAACCAAGAAACCCATAATTACATAACCTTAATTTCAAGAGGCAAAATCTCAAACCCCATACTTATCTTTAGGGATTAAATCCCATTTCAAATCTACACTCCAAGCAATAACGATTTCTCTAATTATTCATCCTGTTCATACACAAATAATTTGCCACTGCTATCCAATTTTCCTGTTGAGTAATACTGGAAATAATTCTAGAGCACAAGACGTAGCACCTATATATTATATATCTCTAGTTGGAGTCTCCTCCCTCGTCACATTTAAATGATCATTTGGTATATTTTCTCTATGGGAAGCACGCTCATGAACAATGTATGAGAAATTTAAAAAAACACAGATGGAAAGATTTTCATGCTTCCGCGGTTGTTTTTAAACGATATTCTCTCTCGTGAGCAGCCGCTTCACCCGATGATCTGGAGGACGATTATGCATATTCGTGGCAGAGTTCTCAAGAAAAGGTCTGTGATAGCCGTCTTGAGAATTCGTGGCATTCATTTATTGGTAGTTTTGGCAAAAAATAATATAATTTAACAAGTAGCAGGTGTAATCTAGTGGCAAAGTAATTCATTTAACACTGAATATTAACAATTGAGAAAGCCAACTAGGCTAAAATGAGTGTAAAGCGAAGAGAACCATCGATTCCGTTTCACTGGTGTCCTGGCAGTGTAGTGTACGAATTTGTGGTTAGGAATATCTGTAGTTTAGCTTGTATCAATTGTGTAGAAAACAAAGACACTGATTTTGAAAGGAGCATATAAAATAGAACATGAATACCGTTAGAAAGGAATGTACGTCGTAGTCATTCCCTTGTGCGATTTTGGAATTGATCTGATATGGAATACTGTTTATTGTGAATCATTGGTTTTTGTGAACCACGAAAATTAACCGCTATGCTTTTATATGTTGGGAAAGGGTTTGAATACGCGATTTTTCGCTTCCCTTCCCAATTGAAATTGTTTCTTCACAACACATAATCGCGTAATCCCTTCATAAACGACCGTAAGTAACTTTTTCAAATGTATGAGCTAAAAACAAATCCGTACCCTAATAATGTTTGTAAGCGCCAAACCTGTGGAAGACAAACGATGTTGAGATGGTACCAATACAGAAGTTTTGTTCTTCAAGTTATCAAATCGCTGTTCAGGTTCGCTAGTAGCCAGCGTCTCTATATCAGTGGTGACTTAAGCTGCCAGATCTTTCAATAGAATAACAATGAAAATATTAATGTGCGTGTACAAAAGATATCAATGCTACATTTTCATCAGATTGGTGTACTAGAAAGACGTCTCACACGCGCGTCCAAGTCCTTGGAACGGTTGTGGTGCGCAACGAGAGACGTCATGAGCAACGGCGGGTTTTGTGTCACTGCTGACAGAATCTACACTGGCGGAAATATAATTTTCGAACCTGAGGTGAGGACAGGGTAATTTACGAAGGAGCGGCAACTTGATCTTCGAATCTGAGCTGAGGATAGGGTAATTTACAAAGGGGCGGCAACATAATCTTCGAACCTGAGGTGAAGACAGGGTAATTTACGAAGGGGCGGCAACATAATATCCGAACCTGAGGTGAAAACAGGGTAATTTACGAAGGGGCGGCAACATAATATTCGAACCTGAGGTGAAGACAGGGTAATTTACGAAGGGGCGGCAACACAATCTTCGAAACTAAGGTGAAGACAGGGTAATTTACGAAGAGACGGCAACATAATCTTCGAACCTGAGGTGAGGACAATGTAATTTACGAAGTTGCGGCAAGATAATCTTCGAACCTGAGATGAAGACAGGGTAATTTACGAAGTGACTGCAACATAATCTTCGAACCTGTGATGAAGACAGGGTAATTTACGAAGTGACTGCAACTCAATCTTCGAACCTGAGATGAAGACAGGTTAATTTACGAAGTGACTGCAACACAATCTTCGAACCTGTGATAAAGACAGGGTAATTTACGAAGTGACTGCAACATAATCTTCGAACCTGAGTTAAGGACAGGATAATTTACGAAGTCGCGGCAACATAATCTTCGAGCCTGAGGTGAGGACAGGGTAATTTCCGAAAGGGCTGCAACTTTATCTGCAAACCTGAGGTGAGGACAGGGTAATTTCCGAAAGGGCTGCAACTTTATCTTCAAACCTGAGGTGAGGACAGGGTAATTTCCGAAGGGGCTGCTACTTTATCTTCAAACCTGAGGTGAGGACAGGGTAATTTCCGAAGGGGCTGCTACTTCATCTTCAAACCTGAGGTGAGGACAGGGTAATTTCCAAAAGGGCGGCAACTTGATCTTCGAACCTGAGGTGAGGACAGGGTAATTTCCGAAAGGGCGGCAACTTGCTCTTCGAACTCGAGGTGTGGGGTCGGGCAGTTTCCGAAGGAGCGGTCCCTTAGGAAAATTGTACACACAATGAACAATTTAGTTTACATAAACCTTAGTTTAAACCTAAATTGGACGTGATATAAGTCGTCAAGACATTTTAATTAAGTGTAAGGATAGAGTTAGTAATTAGAACACTATTTTCATTTAAATATTTGCAGTTCTTAACAAATTATGTATTTGCCGCGTAGTTGTGCTACTTCGTGGAGGAATTGGTGGGCAACGCCTCGGTGGCGGACTTCGGTGCAGGACTCGGCAAGTACGGCATGTGCTTGCTGCGTAAAAACCAAACGAATTTTCAGCTCAGTGAGAAACAGAAGAAAGAATACATCGCTGATATGCAAGCAACACTACAAAGCATCAAAAAGACCCCTAAAGTAGTATATTCATGGCATGGTGAGTGTTAAGAGTTATATTACGATGTTTAAGACATTTTAATACCTGCTGCAAGAATAATTGAGAAAATTGCGACTCGAATAAAGTGTTCTAAAAATATAAATTATGCACTTTTTTGTGTTCATTTCAAGATACATTACCTACTGAGCTCCAAGTTCACCCTGAACTTATGACTAAGAATTATGACAGAGCAAGGTAAATATCGCTCAATTCCTTAATTATCGGAATTTTCGTGCCGAAGAACGTTGCTCTATTCATTATCCTATTCATTGCAGTATTTCTTCATTTATTTACTACTTTATTCATTTTAACCCTACTCATCTTTGCGTTCAAGCCCAGAGTTGCGGCCAAAACAATATCGCCCTGAAATGCGCCCAAAATGTTGTTATATAATAATAAAGATGACTGCAGTTGATTTTAGGTGCAACCAAACTAAGTAATTCTAACGGTAATCAAATCTAACCTTCGATTCATGATTTAGTCATAAATTTAAAAAAAATAAAAGAAAGGCATATTCAACCAAAGTTAGGAAGCAATACTTAAGTAAGAGTATGGTGAGTTCAAGTAGAGGAGTTTTCCAGGCAACTATGAGGTACAAACATTTTAATCTGTTCTCAAAATCAGTCGCACATTTTTTATGCAATAGATTGAGGTAGAGTAGCCGATTCAATTTCAATTGTTTTAATGAAAATATAAATGCCAACTGAGCATTTAATAATGATTGACTTTAATAAAACGAATTTAAGCAGATATTCCCAAGCTAATTCGTACATAAGTGTTTTCGATTAACCACCGGGAATGCCATATTTGGTTTCCATTGCGACATTGAGATTACTGTCTCCCAATTTACTTATACCGTTTCAGGTTCGCCTCAAATAAAATCGAAAATAAGACATATTATTTTTTCTTGAATTTTGCTAACCTGTAATAAAAAATTTTTAATAAAGATTCAGTAATTTTTATATAAACGGCACAATAATTGGACGTTCTATTTACATTGGGGCCAGAAATTTTAGAACACCCTGAACAGAGCACACGCTCAGAACACCCTAAACAAATTTCTCACGAGTAAAAGCAGTTGATATATTTGGTCTTGTTTCTCCGCAGGTTTCGACGGTGGGATAGCAATCGAGGAAGTGAGCGGAGGCTTCATCTCCCACGCCGACCTCAGTGAGGAGGGACTCTGGCTCGGCAGAAAATGGGACTGGGTGATGAGCATAGAAGTTGGGGAGCACATCCCTCGAAACAGCGAGGATTATTTCCTTGATAACCTCGCGCGTCATGCTTGTCAAGGTATTCAACGAGTTCTTGTTTCTGTAACATACTAATTCTAATTTAATAAAACTTTATATTTATCAAAAAGCCTTTTGAACCATTTACGAGTATAACTCGCTCATTTGAGGACCGGTGGCATTGAAGCGTTCANTGCACCACACATCCAATTTATGCACCACACATCCAATTCCTGCACCACATATCCAATTTATTCACCACACATCCAATTTATGCACCACACATCCATCGGTTGCATCAAACATCCATCACCTGCGTCTCACCATCAACATATGCTCCGAACATGCAGCATTTTCATCACATTCCCAAACATCCATTCCCTACACCATATTTCCGCACCAAGTATCACACAATGATCACTTGCAGCACATATTAATACTTACATCCCACACCACACAGTAATCCACATCACCACACTTTAACCCTTAATTTGCATCACACATTCATCGATTCCACCACACTTACATCTCACACACCGCACTTCCTTCCTTGCACCTCATTTCCGCCACCGGCACCACACAATATTTATCCCTTGCTGCAATACTTATGTTGCTGCTTCCAATATTCGTACAGTCGCGTGAAGACGAGCAGCGAGTGAAGAAGATGCGGGTATTGGTCCTGGCGAGCGTGTTGGCTGCGAGCGCTGCTCATCGTACGTACTTATGGAGGGGAGCATATAAGTTGAAAAATTTCTTCATTCACGAACAGATCATTGTTAAACTTGGTAAACATGTATAAAATGGAAATCTAAGACTTTCTTTCTTGTAAATTTTTCGAAAAAGATGGGCATAATAGGGGGGTGCTATGAAAATTCAGCTCCTCATTCAGTTAATGTGCTGCAACATCATGAGACATATCATTCAATTCGTGAAGGCCATATCTAGCGATCATCCGATAACTTTTTCCAATTTGTCTGTTTTATTTTCTGTGCTTTTGCTGATTTTTTCAACTTTAGCCCTCCCCCATTTTTCAATGTATAATCCAAACAAAAAGAAATCGGAAAAAGTGACCGGTTGATCGTTAGATCAGGTCTTTACGAATCGAATTGTGATTCTCTCAATGCTGTAGCTTGAAAATCATAGGAGATAGATTTTAAAATGAAAATTCTAAGTTTTCTGGAAAGCCAAAAAAACTGAAATTTGTGATCATTGAAGACATAGGTTTTATATATCCACTCTTCGACGGCTGTCGTGAACGAACAAATGATTGCACAAACATGGCTTTGGGCTCTTTAAGTGCGTAGGTAGTTCTTGGACCTCTGAAATGAGCCTAAAAAGCGGAAAAGTCTTAATTTTCGATTTTTGACGTACATGCTCCCCTTAAATAACAAGTAGGCTCTTCGATCAAAATGTATCATGTAAGTGATGAGTACATTTTAATTTAATATGAACCATTTATTTATCAAGTTTTCGGCATAAACGCTTGCTTGATAATGAACTTCAGTTGAATTTTACTGGGAAAACCTTTATTTTGAAGTTAGTTGACGATATTAGAACTGATGCTTAAGTGTTAATTCGACAATACTAACACTAATTCATTCTATTATTCCCATAATAGAATGAATTAGTGAGAAAATTAAAAAGCGTATTATAAAGCGTATTATTTGGAATTGACTGTTCGTCGATTGCTTAAACTTGAGTTATACAATTTTCATGTGTATCTAATGTTCATGTGTATCTAATGTGTAAATGTTCATAATATACGAGTATGTCATCCATAACATTGTATAACATAATTATGAGACAATTGCTTCATGTGATTAATTCCCAGCAGGAGCATGGAAGCCACCAACGCGGTACTCTCACTACAACAGGTCCCCATACTTTGGAGCAGCAGGTAAAATTCTTAGTGGCTTACGTTCTGAAATAAAGAATTAAATTGAGTAGAACTTGCAGCTGTGAACTTGTAGAATGATCGATCAAGTTTACCGCAAGACGATGAAATCAAAACACTTGTTTAGATGCCATTTATCTTCCAAACGTCATGCTCAAATAAGTAATAATGCCAAGAATAATGTATGCACAAAATAAAAGTAGACCAGAATAATATGCTTTAAATATCCTATGCATTAACTACAGCAGGAGCTTGGCAATCCCCCGCCGGGTACTCTGAATACAACCCAGCGCCTTATTTTGGAGGAGCAGGTAAAATTATTAGTGGATTACGTTCTGAAATGAAGCATTTATTTCAGTAGCACTTGCAGCTGTAAACTTGTTGGATAATTGATCTCATTTACCGCTAAAGGCGGCAAAATCAGACAATGGTTCATGTGCCATTTACCTTCTAAACGTCATTCTAATATAAATAATACTGACAAGAATAAGATATAAATATTATAAACATAGACAAGAATGATAAATGTTCTTCACCCCATGCTGTGCTTTATTTATAGGAGGAGCTTGGCAATCCCCCGCCGGATACTCTGAATACAACCTCGCGCCTTACTTTGGCAACGCAGGTGAAATTTGAAATATCTTGAGCACAAAATAACAATTCGTCAGTAGCGTTTGCAGTTGTGGAGACAACGTTTGTCGCCCATTGAAAGACAAAACCAGACACTTGCTAGAATGATATTATGTTGGTAAACATCAGTCCTCTCTTGATAATACGTACGTGCGGCGTACAGCAGCATTACTTATAAAAAAGATTATAAATAACACTATTTTGAGTGAGAATTTTATTATGCGTTTAGTGCTCTACACTTTGTTTCCAACAGGAACTTGGCAGCCATACAAAGAGAATTTTGAGTTCGACCGATCGCCTTTGTTTGAAAGAGGTAATGGTTTTCTAGAATCTCGCTCGTTTAATTTATGTTCTAATTGCCCGAAATATAGTGTCTTTCCACTTATAAGCTTGAATTTCAGCCTCTGATATATAGATGAGTCTATACGAATTTTTTTAGATGAGTTTATATGAGTTTTTCATCTATCTCCTGCATCTAACAAGTCATGTTATGAGTGTAAGCACACCTCGGCTTGTCAGAAGCTGTGTATAACTTAATTTCAATGAGTTTCAATAATTTCTTCAATGAGTTTAATTTTTTTGCTACAATTATACACAATCAACATGCTATATTATCTGTTTTTAATTATAGTGTTTAACATTTTGCAATTCAATTTGATTTCAAATTTTAAATCAATCCTCAATCTCCATCACTTAGTCGAACTTTTTCCTCAGAGTTTGATCCCTTCGCGGCGGAGTTCCCCTCCTGCCGAGGCTCCCGCCAGTCCCCCATTAACTTAGACCCGTCCTCCTCTCCCGCGAGGGAGTTTGAGCCTTTCTTCTTCCTTCGATATCAACAAATTCCTGACGCCGAAAGCATCACGAACACTGGACATTCAGGTCACTACTAATATATATTTATATCATTAGAATACCGAAACTTTGCTGAAAAGTTTGTGACAGTATATATATTGTGGTGTTTAGCATAAAGAATTTAAGCGCAAAGAAAGTATTAACAAAATTTCCACTCTTTTATTAGCGAAAACGTTTCGGAGTCCAGCTCCATCGTCCATTCAAAAACCGCGAACGCAAGTACAAACAATTAGTAAACTAAAATTCACTTTGAAGATATTAAAACCTATAACGAAAAATTGAAACAAAAGCAAGCAAATAAAAATGAAGTAAGCATGAGGAGACAAACCTATCTATTTACAATTTCGAAGGGATAAGATATGAAGGCGGCATTTAAGCAAGGGTTCTGTTTAAAAATATACCGGCATTCCAAAATTTGTAGTTCAAAAACACCTTTTGCGGAGACTAAAACTCTAAGATCGCTATCGAACACCGCGGGACGTTGCGCTGCTCCGCAGGAACGCCTACAGCTGAATAAGGGGGATGCGCAAGCAGGTTTCCTGTTCTATAATTCCTCCCTTTGTGCTCCGCCAGCCTAGAATAAAAATTGCGTGATGTCATATCGGCATACGCTGATGCGCACTGCGCGCAACAATACTGATAATCTAGGGACTATCGCACAGGAACAGGGAAAGTATCGTTATTCTGGAAAATAGAGCTCATTCTAAAATTATCCGTCAACAAAAAATAAATTTTCAGTCGTCGATTTATGTGTCAATATCTTCAATGTGAATTTAGTTTACTAATTGTTTGTCTCTGTGATCTAGGTTTTTGAACTGACTATGGAACTGGACTTTCGTTTATAAAGAAATTGTGAAATTTTGTGATATTTTCTTTGCATTTAAATTTTTGTCTGAGGCCTTTTCCAGCAATCGAGTGATCTTAATACATAAAAATTAAAAATTTACGTCATTGTGACACAATTGACCCTGTTCATATGTCATTACTTTATTTGATTCGTCATAAACGTGCAAATCTTGACTGCTTATTAGTTATTATGTACGTGGAGAGTACCGTGTTCGATGAGACTACCGTGTTCAATAAGAGTATCGTGTTCGATAAGAGTACCGTGTTCGATAAGAGTACCGTGTTCGATAAGAGTACCGTGTTCGATTAGAGTACCGTGTTCGATAAGAGTACGTGTTCAATACGAGTACCCTGTTCAATATGAGTACCGTGTTCAATAAGAGTACCGTGTCCAATAAGAGTACCGTGTTCAATAGGAATACCGTATTCAATAAGAGTACCGTGTTCAATAAGAGTATCGTGTTCAATAAGAGTACCGTGTTCAATAAGAGTACCGTATTCAATAAGAGAGTACCGTGTCCAATTAGAGTACCGTGTCCAATAAGAGTACCGTGTTCAGCAAGTGTGTCGTGATCAATAAGAGTACCGTGTTCAATAAGAGTACCGTGTCCAATAAGAGTACCGTGTTCAATAAGAGTACCGTATTCAATAAGAGAGTACCGTGTCCAATAGAGTACCGTGTCCAATAAGAGTACCGTGTTCAGCAAGTGTGTCGTGATCAATAAGAGTACCGTGTTCAATAAGAGTACCGTGTCCAATAAGAGTACCGTGTTCAGCAAGTGTGTCGTGATCAATAAGAGTACCGTGTTAAATAAGTGTACCGTGTTCAGTAAGTGCACCGTGTTCTCGAGAAGAAGTTAATGATAGTCTGTTTATGTGGATAGAGTTACATTGAATCAATAATCCATTCGTGGACAGTTAGTAACTAAAAATATATTGAACTATAGAGTAGTGAGATTGAAACTTGTCTCTTGATCAGAATCATATTTTTTTAATTGAGTGAAATTTAGAAGTGCAGTTCATTTTATACTTCATTTATTTTAATTATTTGTTATACGAAAAACATTGAAGTTTTCCATGCTTGAAAGTTTTACCCATTTTATGACGTATTAATAAAGGCTACATAGATGTTATTAATTCAGATCAGTTAATTCACATCGAATCTTAAAACGCTACAAATCTTAACTGACAATAATTTTAATCAATGAAAACTTCAGCTGATAAATGCTCAACTCAAATACGTATATGTTTATCATCATATTCTTTACAAGCCCATAAAAAAATTTTCCAGTTTCTAAATAATTCAAGAACAGGGAGAAGTGAACCAGATTAACAAAGCAACTGTACAATTCAAGTCGCTAAGAAAGAATACATTAGAACGTTTTCCTCATTACATCCGTTCGAGCCATGTCACAGTGAAGGGATTCGAATATTTGTGCACCGAAAGATAATTTTCCGCCAACCCCTTTGTAAATTGAATGAAACTCTCACTACATTATGATCATATTTTTTCTTTAATGAGGCAGTGGAAGTAAAACTCATCAGTAGAAACCTGCCGGAAGTGTCAGGAGGCAACTTGGGTGCGACTTACAAGTTTGACCAATACCACCTCCACTGGGGAGCGGAAGACTCCAGGGGCTCGGAGCACACCATTGACAATTTCAGGTATTGGGCTTTAAATATTCCGGAATAGTTGTATATTTTTAAATAGAAGCTTTGTCTTAGTAACATGTACAGTTCTTCTCATCCTATTGCAATTATAAATCGGCAGGTTTTATGTTCCGCTGTCGTTTAATCGTTTTTCTAATCTTTTCAGTCTATAGTCAGATTTTTTATTGCATGCGGTAATTCTTAAAAATTTCTTTTCTTTTATATTACTGGCACGATAATATGCATTATATCTTACCTCATGAACTGATAATTTACGCTTAAAGTATGTTTACTGTTTTAACTTAACTGTGAGACCTGCTGGTGATTGTTGGTGATTGACGTTAAATAATAGTTAATTAATTAATAATTAATCGCTGCTATATTATCGAGTAATATGTATTAAATATTTTTGTGGAGTAAGTTATTACTAACTAAAGATCGTCCATGAAGCCGGAAGGGTCCGGAAGCCACACCTCTTAGTCCATTGCGTTCGTCTAGTAGTTACGCGTACAACACTTAGGGAACCGTTGCCGTACTAGTACGCGGTAGCTCTTCACTTCACTTTGCTAAACGAACACACCATCAAGTTTGCAAGAAATTTGCCACAGAAAGTTTCTTTGCAATTTTACTCAGTACTATTCATTCCATCATATATATCGTTGTGATTAATCACATTATTTATGAGACTTAAATGCAAATTCCATTTGTGACCGGAAATAGCGTGATGCTTGCCCGCTTAATATTTGCCACTTGTTAACTCGCATAGTAATTTCCGACAGATGTATGTAGATGAATAATTATTTGATTATATGCGTACAATTTATGACCAGAGAGTGCATTTGAATTTTCATGAACTTGAGATGAAGCTGCTTGTTTATAATACTCAATGTCGCAGTTGTTAGTCCAATTCCTCCAATGTAGTTCAAATAATGAAGAAGTCTACAACCTTCTTTGAAGCAAAATTTATAAACTACACCGGCCTCAAGGAGAGCTCCCGCTTTTTTGCAGGGCCCATTGTTGCGCATAGTCCGGAGTTTGGCGTTGTGGTCAAAAGTGTCACCAAGCTTTTTGAATTCATCAATGATCTTGAGATGAAGTTGCTTGTTTGTGTTGTGAATAATTATTTTTATACGCCAACAGCAGCTCAAAAAAATCTTCATAGCAACAAAAATTTGCCTTCTCGCTTACGGCCAGAATGCATCGCTCAAAGACATTAGTACATTTATTCTTGTTCGTAACTCCATCTTGTGCAAGGTTCCCCATGGAGCTTCACTTGGTGCACCACAATACAAAGTACGCCAGCTTTAATGCTTCCTTGGAACACCGCGACGGCGTGGCGGTGCTGGGTGTGCTGTTCGTCATCTCTGAATTGGACAACCCGTTGCTGCAACCTCTGATCGATCACCTCATGTCCATCACTGAAGCTGGTGGGTCAACGAAAATTCGTTCTCTTCTCAGTTGCCAAGGAATTAATCACATATTAATGATTATTTTCAGGTAATTGTCAATAGATTGAAAAAATTTGATTATTTTGTGTGGGAGTAGGTCCTGCTGCGGTGGAGGCAACTCCATGAAAATTGTAGCAGCGGCTGCTGACTTTCGGCGCTGTGGGCATAAGCACTTAATTTCATATAGGCTACAGTACCCTGCAGCATGCTAGCTCCTCTACCTAAGATCTTACAAAACCTACTGAGTTTGGATTATGACATGCAACATGAACTTCCAATATCCTCTATGATACATAACAATAAATGTATATACCGTAATTATATCAGTTAAATTCAGAAAAAGGTCACTAAAAACTGGCCACAAGTCTCACAATATTAGAACTTTATTGAATTAAAGAATGCGGGTTACTATGTACCTTACATGCACAAAATGCTAAAGATACATTTCTAAAAAAGTAACATACAGAAAACCCCGGATAAAATTTGAATTCTTTATCTCAAAAGTTGGTAAGAACAATCGCGTACTCCTGTGCTTTCCCCAAAATCCTCAATCCTCGTACACATCAATTGGACGATATATTGCAGTCGAACATATTGAGGCATTCATTTCGCTGACGAGATGATAAAACGAAATAACAATTTTTCATATATTACATTGTAACTATTATCAAGATCTTCAAATCCTCTTCTACTTTTTTATTCTAATATCTGAGGAAGATAACGCGGCATCATCTGATTACCACGCCGTCACAAGTTTGTGAAGTAATTCATCGCACAAGCACGAAAATTCTCCGCCACAATATCAGTTGAATCAATAAACTATAACTGTTGTGTCATTTGCGCAGGGCAAGAGGACATTGCAGTCGATCTTTACCCACTGGCGTCGTTATTGCCTCGGGATCTGTCCCGCTTCTACCGCTACCACGGATCCCTCACGACTCCCATGTGCAATGAAGTCGTCACGTGGACCATCTTCGACGATTATGTTCCGGTGTCCGATGCACAGGTAGTGTAAATGGGCGGGTAGCTAGAGGTCAGCATAGCCCAAGTCCACAGTGCGATTCATATACCTTCCCGAGCGTAACGCAGCCGGGCATCTTCACGGCTTTTGACACAATGCGCCCACCACAACAGCGCCGTTCGGTCACAGGCCGGGGCGCATACAGGCCGGAGCACAACTGGCCGGGGCGCAATAGGCCCTACCGCAACAGCTACTCCTAACGTAACGTAACCTAACCTAACCTGCGCCGCCTGTTGCGGTAGGGCCTGTTGCGCTCCGGCCAGTTTCGCTGCGGCGCTGTGGAACAGTGGCTGTGTTGTGCAAAGCGGATTTACTGTTAGCCGGAGTTACCCACAGCTCATTGGTCTGAGGCTATGCTGGCGTTAGGTTAGGCAGCTCATTGGACATAGTTCAGTTGGCGAACTGAATTTTGTGTTAAGAATTGACGATGGAGCTGGATTCCGAAGCGTTTTTTCCTTCCGGAGATATGATGAATTTTTGTGCTATTGGCTTTGCTTTTAAATTCCTGGTTAACCTGAGATTTAAAGCAAACAAGTGATTTAATACTTCAATTGCACGCGGTTGGTAAATTTTGTGGAAATTTTAAATTTAATTTTTTGAACTAATTTTAATTAATGTAAATAAAATATAGTATTTGTCCGCTGTTTAAAAATTACGCACGATTTCACCTTCTCATTGTGAAATGTCTAATTTAGGGACTATTCCTTTGCGCACGCGAATAGTTCTTAGGCATTTCCAGGGCTTGGAATTGAACAAACTCACTTTTTCGAGTATATAATAAATATTTGTTCTTCATATTTTTCACCAAATGAAATTCTTCACACACTCTACTGTTAGCATTTAACTGAAATGAAAGCGCCTAATTTATCCAAGTGAGGTACCTTTCTTGATCTTGTCCTTGCCGCGAACAATAGAGTGCATCTTTTAATATGCCAACGGAAACATGTACAGTAAACCATACGGTATAATCTTAATCTTATATAAGAAGGCATGTCAGCTATGCAGCGTCTCATGAACTGCCTTCTTTTCTTTCACTGTTTTACATTCATTCAGAATGAAACATTACGTGTTCCTCCAATCCTTCTAATTATTTTATATTCCTGCTTTCATCTACTTATCCGATTTTTTGCGAATGCTCATTATTTTCATTGAAATATTAATATCAATAACATTTCCACTTAACCGCTTTGACACTCAATTAACTAATGAAGAATTGATAATTTAATATTAACAAAAAGGCAAGTTATTATCAACGCAAACGCGTATCTATCCTTATCAACCAATCTTGTTGTATAAATTACTTAAAATTGGATGCGCTAAGTAATGTTACAAATATTCAAAATAAAAAATAAAGTAATTTAGAAGATCAATTTGAATATGTTTAATACAGACAAATGTACTTGGAGGAGCATAAAAATGCACGTATTCGCAATGAGTACGGACTGAACGTGGATGAACATTTTACGTTTTACAGATGGCGAGACTAAGAAGCCTGATGGACACCGAGGGTGACCCTCTCCTTAACAACTTTAGGCCCAACCAGCTTCTCAACGGCAGGACGGTGAGTTTATGACACCTACTATTGCATCAATATACATCGAGGAATGAATGGTGTTATATACAGACGATAAGCTTTTGTGTTTCAACGTTGATTTAATCAAAGTCATTTTCCTGGGTGAGTACAATTGAATTACAATTTGTCGTTGATGATGAACAACTCGCAGAAGACTACATTTTCGAAAAATGTCTCATGACATTGAACAATATTTATTGCGTGAGTAATTAATAATGCATCATTTAAAATCCTGTAGGCTAACTACACCACGATAATAACTTTTCTACAAGTTTCGTGTAAAAAATTACAATTAAAGAAGAATATAATCGTGGAGAGAAACTCCAGATACCAGGACACTACAATTCCTATAAGCCATGGTGAAGATATGAACATGGCAAAACAATAAAAATTAATTCACAGAGTAAAGTCATGAATCGAGACAAAAATAATGTTCTAAATTTGAAAATTATAGTCTGGACAACGCGAAACGTTAGTAGACAGATGGATATAATATATAATTACGGATCAGGCAATAAGTCCAGCAGCTATCTCAATCAATCGTCAGCTATAGAAAGATCGGGTTCCAAAGGCCGGATCCCTTGTGAATCAAGTCACGAAAAGTTCAAGAATCGGCAACAGGCCATGGGCCGATTTCTTCAACGCCGACACTTCTATTCTATTCTATTCTATATAAGACATGGTTAGAAGACCATGGGTTAAAGTCGTTATGGAAAAGTATCTTAGTTGTCAGATTTTGTTTTAAACTTCTTACAAGTCAAGTTCAAGCGAGCCTCTGCTCAATAAAAAGATTAGCTTTCTTTGTAACAGCAAAATTAGGTGGACGTTTATGATTCGCGTTACCAGCTACTGGTTGCCACTCGCTAATTGCCCCTTGAGTGGCTAGTATCCATCTACACGAGATCACGTACCTGATAACTAGTGGCGGTTAGTACTTGCCAGGTCAAGTGGCTCCTACAACTGGCCCCGGTGTAAACGCACCTTTATTATGCGCCGGTCAGTTATAAGAGTTTGGGAGGCCAATTTACTCTCATTTCCAATTTACTCTCACTCATTTGCAAGCTGAAAAATGGACATTAGGGATATCCTTCCACGTAATTAGGTGCTTGAAATGTTGGTAAAAGACGATTTGTTTCTGGCAAAAATTTGTTTAAAATAAAAAAAAAAATTTCGTTTAAAAAATTTGAATTTAAAAAATTTTATCTTGTGTTCTTATTTTATTCGAAACGTCGCGTCTCGTCTCGGTATTGTTCGGATTTCCTCAGGAAGTCGAAAAATTGACAAAATTTTCATCGTTCATTGGGACAAAGCTTCTTGTCCCTTTCGAATGAAAAGTTCCAAACGTAGGAGCCTATATATAGTGGCCTCTGCACAGCTCGATTGGCTTGTTCACATGCAAAAATGCGTAATAGTCTAATTCTTCCTCTATTTATTCGGGTCGTTTTCCAGACATCAATTAATCGTTTGACTTACTTCGATGGAAAATGTATTCAAGTTTAAGCGTTTAGCTCGCACCCAATGCGATAAGAATTGAAGCCTATTGTCTTAAATGTTACCCTCTGCTTAAAATTAAAACCTAGATTATTGCTAAACTAGAATTGGCGATGAATACGCATTAGAACTAGCGAATTAATTTGTGAACATGGTCTATAAATAATTTGTTTCAAGGTCAAGGTTTTGCATCGAGGAAAGGTAATTACTTATTCCTCAGACGCTGATGCACAGAAATCTTGACCGGATCTTATGATCGTAACCGGATTTTTTTTTCAGGTGTACCGCTCCTTCTTGTATTGAGTCACTCAACCGCGCTACTCGTCATAGTGGAAGTAGAACGATTTCCTCCACTCAATTACACTCCACGAATTGTATATTATCCATTTTTAATGAAATAATTGAATACAATTTTTTTTACCCGTCTTGAGTTCATTTTTATTTTTAATGATGACAGGAGAAATCACAAAAAAAGTTCAAGCGTTGAACAGTTCATATTATTGTTAAGGTTTGAGGTAAGACTTTTTTTATCATTGCCGGATTTTAAATAGAAACTAATAATTTATATTATATGAACTAGCATGTTCGCAATTAATGATTTATCCGTAATGTATAATATAATTTGATTTTGAAGGCATCCAATTCATGGCCCTTTCAACACTTCAACAAATTATTTCAACAAATATTATGATCTTAGAAGTATTTTCATTATAAGAATACGTAAGCAAGATTTAGCTGATTGGCTTATGGTGAAAAGAAAGCAAATAAAGAAGGCCTGAAATTCCAATATTCCTCTCAGAATCATTTCCGTGTTGTGTTTATGATTATGAATGGGGTTGATTAGGATCGAATTAAAATGACTTGCCTGTTAAAACAAGTGAGAAAGTCTATTCATGAGCGGTATCTATTAAGGTGAATTTCATGGTCAAAAAGTAGTCTTGTCAAGTTATTAAATTTTCATTTTACTACGGATTGAGTTGCACGAGCATACGCCTTGATTTACTCGGGAAGTCAACCCGAGCTGAAGTTTAATGAGACAAATCGCCTTCCTCTTGGCTGCGAAAATTGTCATTTAGAATTTGTCTGACGTCGATATCATCGCTGTTAATTTTATATGATCAGGAAAATACCGTGAGCAAGCAAATTTATAGACTTCAAATATTTGCATTGTTTCTTGTTATCACAAAACATGTTATCGATTTGAAAATTATAGAATTTAAAGTTTGTCAGATCATACTCTCTTATTATGACGTAGGTTATCACATATAAGAGGGTAATTTCGTCCCTGTTTGCTAAATTTAACATTTAATAAGTTTGGCCAAATTTAATGCTGTCAATGAATTTTCAAAAATTCAATGCAATTTATTTTATGTCTTGTCAGCAAATTATTTCACTGCGCGCAAATGGTGAACATAATATCAAGCTCAGATTTCATCCTACGAGAAGCCATGTACGTTACGAGTGAACTGAAGTCATTTAAATCCTTCTTTTGCAAAATAAGAAATACGATGAGATAAATAATACCAGAAATGTAAGTGACTTTCCTAAAATAAATGATAGATTATAGGTAGGATTGCGAAAGAATGATTCAAGGAATTATTACTCTTGGCATAAAGTTTATTTATTGTTTCTCGTAAGTTTCTGATTTTTAAATTATACAATATCATATACCAATAATACAAAGTGATTTCATTACATTTGAAAGTCTACGCCCAGTTTTTAAATAGTTATTTGCCAACTCTCGGGTTGTCCTCACACACCATCATCAGCACCACTCATCTGAAGGCGCCAAATAATGAAGTATTTACACAAGTTCAATACTATTAACGAAATATCCAGAAGCCAAAAAAAAAAAATAATAAATTTTAGCAGCATTAACTTTTAAATTTAGCCTATGCATTTTAATCTCCCAACTATATTTGATGTGACTGTTTTACCCTAAAATGCACCAGCAATTTAGGTTAATATAGAAGTCATTCATAGAGTATATGCTTTTTTATAAGCTATGTAGTTGAATAATCGTTTCACTTACTTTCCGATTCCATGTTTAGTTAAACGCAAATTGCTTAACCAATACAAGCGAATCCCAAAAATAATATTCAGTTTAAATTGGATGCAACGTGAATCTAATTTCAGCTACGATGCAGAAGAAATAGGTTGCTCAATCTGATATGCAAATATTAAAATAATTAGATTACATATGCAACCAATTTCTTGAACTAAATTTTGAACAATTTAGTAAAATACCAGCACACTAAAAGTGAACATTATTAGGTTCCATATATTTTCAGGCCCATTAAATGAAATAGAATCAAGAGAGTGTGTTAGAAGATATAGAAGTAACGTATTTTTCGCTTATGAAAAAAAATCAATCAATCAGGTTTGCGTAAATTTTTCGCACATGTTGTTTACGCGGTTGCTTATCAGGAAGCTTGAAATAAAACATAAATATTCCTTCAGTAACTATTAAAATAAAGAACCAAATAATGTATTATAGCGATTCTGCCTCTAACCTGGTCCCAACCTAGGTCTTTGCCCCTAACCTTGAAATTAAAAGTTTGCGGCAAAAATGAACAGAATTTTTTATTCGCCTATGAGAACACAGCGGTATTACAATACTAAAAAACAGTTTAACAGAAAAAATATTATTGAATTTTCATATACTCGTATAAACTTATGAGCTTCAAAAGCAACAATCCTAAAAACAATAAACCGTAACAAAAAAGTAGTAATTCACTCAATCCGTCTTGTAAAATTTATTGTTCCGCGACTTGCACGTTCTGCACTGTTAGTTCATAACCGCATTCTCGTAAGTGAGAGCAGCCGTTGGCTAAAGATTTTGGTGAGATTTAACACAAATTATACAACTAGCCCTGGAGTCAACGCTCAGCCTAAATATGTCCAGCTACACTTTGTCTCAGAATCACGCAGGATTGAGGTTGGTTCAGAGATTTGTTTGGCTGGAGAGTCCAGGTTAGAGTGGAGGCGACCTTACATATTATAAACAAAAGCTACGAACACCGATGAATTAAATTGAAACCCATGCTTAATGTCTCCAAACTTTGAATGGATGGGTCAATATCAATCGAACGATTTGCCAGTTATCAACAATATTGATGCAGTAAAGATGATTTATCAATTGCTAGCCGGGCTAAGTTCGAGCCGTGATCGAGAGCGGACGCACGTGTTTGTGTTCCCAAGTTTTAACTATAACTGTGCCGTTTCGGAGTTTTTTTTCGCATTTTTGTTATGGACCGTGTCAGTGAATGACCGAATTTAGTGAAGTCAGTAAAAGAGATTACAGACAAAGAGTACAAGCGTACAGCTAGTAAAAGTGTTTTCAACTTGTATAACGCGAGCTTATCGAGTGAGTGAGGGAAGCGTGTGCCGTATACCAGAAGTCATGACAGAAAAGCCTTTGTTTTCGACCAAGCTCAGTTTACCGCTACCCCGAAAACCTTACCCCCGCCAACCCCACAGTCAATTTACTTAAAATAGCATTATTTTCTCTAAATTTTGAGCAAAACTAATTAATATACGTTTTGGATAAATTTACGTGTTGAAAATACTTAACACCTACGAAAAAGAGCATTCGCTTCTCTAAAATATGATCTAATTTAATATGCGTTTCCGATAAATTCAAGTGTTAAAATATTATAATGAAAATTAAAAAAACATAGTCAATTTAATTAAAAAGAGCATTATTTTACGAACTTTGGAGCTCATTTACAGTGCGTTTAGGGAAAATTCAAGTGTTTAAATATTATAATCAAAATTAAAAACACATATTCAATTTAATTAAAAAGAGCAATATGTTCTCTAAATTTTGAGCTCATTTACTGTGCGTTTTGGATAAATTTAAGTGTTAAAATATTAAAAGCATAAGTAAAAATACACGTTCACTTTACGTAAAAAAACATTCATTTCTCTAAACTTTGAGCTAATATAATTTGCATCTCGGCTAAATTTACATGTTAAAATTAACAAAAAAAAAATCAAAATTGAAAATACATTGTCAATTTTTTGAAATGAGCATTCTTTTTATGAATAATTTCATAAAATCGTATCTTTATTCAAGGCAGTGAAGCAAATATAACTTAGAGAAATTTATTGAATTTAGCAGCCTGAACATTGACTTTAAGCTTGAAATCTTCAATGTTTAATTCCTGGGGCCGGGACGGTTTCAGTTGCGCCAAAAGGTAAAGCCAAGAGATAATGAATGGCTGGCACCTCGTCAAGTGAAGCAGCAACAGGTAAGTCGCGGCTGCTGCTCCGCCAGCAGCCAATTATCATATTGTGAAAATTGAGTTCCTCTGAATGTAAAGGTAATAGATTACAAGGTAAAAATCATAAAGTAATCTAAAGCAGTAAATTTTAATGAGGTTAGGGTAAACTAAATGTAATCACCTGAGATTAAATGCCACTCAGTGTTCTAACGCACTTTTAGCATGAATTGAATTTGATGAAAAAAGAATAAATCAGTTGAAGGTGGATGCTTCTGATGGATTTAAAGTAAGAATAGTTGAAGATTGGTGCGTTGAAGTGAGAATTAAGGTAAAGCGATTCGGTCAAAACTCTTAAAATAGAGCTCGAGTTGAAGCCTCATCTTCTCAAAGTTGATTTATTAAAGTTGAATTGGAATAAATTTTTGGTATTAAAACTAATTCCCAGCTCAAACGGATGCTCTAATTTTTATTCAAATTTAAATACATTCAACAGTTCAGATTGGAAACTAGTTGACAAGACGTGGATTAAGGTTTCGGTCTGGTTCAAGTGTTCGTTGGATCAGAAAATCAATGGAAGCAGCGGACGAATACGTGTTGGTAGCACATAAAATGAGTGACGTCGCCCCCGGATTGTTCTGAAGCAGATAAAGAGGAACGTTTTGAATAGCTATCGTAAAGAAGTATGAATTTTCATATAAAGAATGAACAGATATAAAGACAAATCACAAATATGAATTACCTTAAATAATAGATCCACTTGAGAGGCGAGGAGCCAGATAATGTGAAAGTTAATGGTTAGTAATGTAAGATCAGCTCGTATAGCAATGGTTATTGATCGCATGCTGTTAGAAGTTCGAATTTAAATGAACTGAGCTAATCTTAGAAAGTAATTATATAGGTATGCCGATGGACAAGATATGATGAAAGTTGACCAGAGGAAATGGCAACTCAAGACACGCAAGCCTAACCTGCTCCTTCTTTAAAAAAAAAACAGGTCGCAACAAGTTACTTCTTTTTTGTTTTTAAGAAAGTTGGAACATTAAATTTTTTAATTTAAAATATTCTAATTTTTGAAAAAGTTTAATTAATATATAATTCCTACAATCAATTAAATCTTCGACAATTTAATAAACATTTCCTAATAAAATTGAACAACTGAAGTCTGAAGCATCGCTCACGTTAATTAAGCATAGATTTGAGCGAACTAAACAAAACGAAAGAATATCGGGCACTCAAACCAAGGAATAGATAAATCACAGAACAAGGAAGAAATTTAGACTTATGGTTGAATCCCTGTCAAAATTTACGCGCGGCTATCCTTCCGATTTCGGTTGCGACTCTCGGATTAGAGATGAATCAGATGCGAAATGGCCAGGTGGTGGGGTGAGTGGTGGTGGGGTGAGTGGTGGTGGGGTGAGTAGTGGTGGGGTGAGTGGTGGTGGGGTGAGTTCTCGCTATTGTAATCGTGAGGAAAATATACAAGCAATACTGAGCCGCAAGCGATGCTTACGAATAAATGTTTAATAAATGTTGAGAGATTAACAGCAGTGAAGGATGCGCTCTAAACAGAAGTACGAATAAATGTTTAATAAATGTTGAGAGATTAACAGCAGTGAAGGATGCCCTCTAAACACTAGGAATTTCATCCAACGCCGGCAGGAGGTTCTGCACTGCACGCCTCAGATGGGGCAACCGGCGAGTAGCGAGGGACCAAGACTCCAAACTCCAGAGTGAGTCCCAGCCTCCAGTGCGACGCCTGCCGTCAGTGAAGTGGGTTGTTGTGTGCTACTGTCGGTGCCTGCCTGCTCTGTGAATTGCGCTAATATCGCGAGTTTTCTGTAGTAATTCACATTTTATAATAGTCCCGATAAAGTGTTTTTATGAAAATTTGTATCGGTGTTTGTATGTTTTTCCTGAGTCCAGGAAGGAGGCAGTGTCTTATCTTGCCCTCGCACCGAATGGCCGTGCCTCTATTGCTCATCTTGCCGCAGGATTGCATCAGGCTTTGTGCTGCTGCCGTCGGCCGCCACGTGAAGGCGAAGAGCTGAGATATGCCGCTATTATCCATCTATTTAATCAGATATTTACCTGTCATTGCTGTTATATTGTTGTGGCTGAACTGTTGTGTTGAGCGTGAACACGTGTGAGGAAAATAACGTGCGTGAACGAATGACGTCATCCAATGTTGAATGACGTGTTGCTGTTGTTGCTGCGATACCGCTGATGCTGCTGTTGTTGCTGTTGCTGCTTTTGCTGATGCTGCTGTTGTTATTGCTGCTGTTGTTGCTTATTTTGTTGCAGTTATTGTAGGCTACCTGCCGAGGCTGTTGCTGTTATTGCTGCTGCTGTTGCTACTGTTGTTTATGTAGCTGTTGTTGCTGCTGTTGGTGCTGTTGTTGTTGTTGCTTCTTTAACTGCCGTGGTTACTGTTGCTGCTGTTGTTGCTGTTGTTACTGTACCGGCTGTTGCTC